ACCCGTGGATGTTTTTTCTGCAATCACTGTGGAGTATTGAAGACAAAAACAAGGGAAGTGTATAAGAAGCGTAAGGGTGGGTGACAGCCATCAACTGAAACAATTTACAAGCGGAAGCCAACAGCAAAATAAATTGAGGACACCTATGCCTACGTGAACAACCCATTAAAGTTCAAGCTGTATGATCATGGTCATGTCTGTGCCTTTGATCCGACCCCAAACAGCCAACTTATGCCAATATTCACTTTACCAATCTCAAAAACTTAAGTGACCAACTAAAGAGGATGTACAGTTCTTGTGTCTGTTCCTTCACAAAGCTAAGAGATTTGTAAATCTGGTGGGGTGATGTTTGCTATTGGATGGAGGAAATTGATGGCTAAGTTGGAAATTTTGGGAATCTATGTAAATCAGAACGCAATCAACACGTTTTCTGAGGTGTATGCAGAACATGTCAAAGACTCCACACAAGCTGGCCAAATCCTCTGGCAATTATTTTATCTAATTGCCAATGTTGCACTTGAACATAACCAAGATTTTATGATTCAACACAGCATTCCCGCCTTTTTTGACCCAGCCTTTCCCTCTGAAAGTCCTTGGACCTCAGATTCTTTTTTTTCCTCAAACCTTACTTTTACAACAATCCTCACATTGATGACAAGGATGAACAATCACCTCTATTTGCTTTTCTTCTCTCCATCCCTACCTGCAAAAGGACTGGAAGCCTAGCTTTCAAATCCAAGGGTTACAACATAAACAATGGCCAATTCATCTTCCTAGAATGTTGATTTGGAATCAAATTTTGCACTGATATGATGTGTCTGGTGACCTTTAGACAACAAGACTACATCCATGGAACTCTCCCACCAACAGAGCCAAGCAAATATGCTAGGATGGGTATGTCTATGCAAATTGCTGCCAAAGTCACTAGAGTAGCAGATTGTGTTGTGCATGAAGATTTTGAAGAGGAAACTGATATGCACTTTGGAGATGTTAAATTTTTGACCAAGAAAGGGTGATTGTTACTTGTCATATTAATGAGTCCTAATTTAGACTGCCATGTTATTCCATTCTCCCTTCCTCAGATGATCTGCTCCTTCTTGGAGAGACAGACAAAATGAAGATGTGTCTGGTGAGATTTGAACTCACAACTGTTGACCTGTGAGTATGCACAAAATTGTAGGGCCCATGCTTTGAACTGGATAATCAATGTATATTATGCAGATATGAGCTTATCCTTCATCCCTTTTTTGTTGCTCAACCATCATATCACTATTTCCTCAGTGAAGATTGATCACTATTTCCTCAGTGAAGATTAATGTTGAGACCCTGATGCAGTGTTGTATTATTTGAACTATATCTTTATAGGATGTGGCACAATCAATTGAAACACCAAATCAACTGACATTAAAATCTGAATATCATTCAATGATTCATCTGGATTACACTCAGGTGTAATATAATGGATATTAACATTTGTAATTTGCAGGGGCAGCTATACAACCCCTGACTGTTTCTCATGAGAGGTTTAGCAACAGTTAAACAGCACAACACCTCTCCTCCATAGTCACATTCACAGTATAATATGTGTTATGGGACTTAGGGACAAATGCAGCATAAATTGCATTAGTCTTCATGATTAGGGTCAACAAAATCATCCTACTTCAGGGCAAGCCAAACAGGTGCCTGCAGGCCAGGAGTTGGATCAGTGCATTCATTAGTGGGATTCACAGTTGAGTGCAAATGTCTTGCAAAAGGCCTTTCAAGTCAATCTGCACAACAAAGCATGCATGTTCAACTCTCATTACTCATTATAAGGTTAGATGTGGCTAGTAGAAAGCCAATTTCAAAATCCCCATGCATGAGGGTGACCTGCAAAATGTTTTGCAAGTCACTTGCACTCAGCTGTAAAAACCCCTATCAATGTGATTCCATGAAAAGTGGCTTATGGGCATATGCCTGCTTAAATGCAAGTTCCATTTTGTTTGTTGGATATTTTATTCCAATTTTTATCTTCTTTTTTTTTGGGGGGGGGGCAAAACAAGTGGGTAAGTACATTGAAGTCCCTGCCTAATAGGGGAAAGAATGGTTTATCTGAAGTCTTTCACTGTATATGGGAATTAAATTCTTTGTTTGAACCACAACAAAGTTTATGAAGCCGGCCATTTATTTTGATATTGCAATCTGACCACAAATGGGAGCTATTGAGTTTGGATTATGTTGACTGGAGAAGTGCCATGGCCAGTCACTTCTACATTAATTCACAAGTATCAGATTGACATATTAGGCTACTAGCTAAAATGTGCTCTAATGTGTTTCGATTGTATTCTTACAAATGAACTCATCTCCATTCAAGTCTCCTTCACATGTCATCCCTGTAATCCCAGTCCCTCATGTGCCATACCTAGCGGATGAGAGACCCACTGCTTGGGTGGGCTGAGAAAATAGATCATAACCCTGAATTCCATACCTATGTGTGTGTGGTTGTTGAAAACAATTCTCTCCAAATATCTTGATGGGCCAGCTTGAAGGGATATACCTGCATCAAAGGGGGGTTTTTGAGAAACCAATCCTTGCTATGCATCAAGATAAATTTCAAAGATGGGAACAATTGACTTAACTGATCATCTAATGGATTAATAATTCAAGTCAGTGTCCCATCTGCTCTTGCTGGAAGCTCAGTCAATTTCCATTCAATCATATTTTTCAGGGTGGTCTTGAGAATATTCCTCAGTCCTACCAGTTTACTCTTTCTGAGATGATATTGAATTTCCCACATGCATCATAAATCTTGCCAAGCTTGGGGTTTTTCAGAAAAATTCATGAGTCCAAATCAGATGGAAAAAATCAAGATTTTTAGTCTTGATACAACACAGATGACATGAATGTGCCCTTGGCCAGGTTCAATGGCTGCACATACTGTTTCACCTCTGAATATCATAGGTCATTCAAAATGTGCAAGGGCAGCACATACTCTTACGCATATGACTTTCATGGGATATGGAAAATTCTTTTATTTACCCATGATTTTAACACACAAATGAAATAGTTTTACTGTCCATCCTTTTCATCTGTCAAACAATTAGAGGTTGGATAGCTACACTTTCAAATTACAAATGTCAATATCTATGATATTAGTGGGATTCAGAGTTGAGTGCAAATTCCTTGCAAGTCAATCTGCACAACCAAGCATGCATGTTCAGCCCCCATTACTCATTATAAGGCTACATGTGGCTAGTTGAAAGCCATTTTTGAAAATCTCCATGCATGAGAGTGACTTGCAAAATGTTTTGCAAGTCACTTGCACTCAACTGTGAAACCCCCTATTACACCTGAAGGCAATTCTTCCAGATGTATTATTGAATGCCATTCAAATTTCAATGATTTCACCCTCCTTTATCTTTTGTGTATGCTTTTGGGCCATCAGAACTGCCTCTTCATGCTCAAATGTTTTTCTCACAGAAAATCCCCTCCAGGCACCTTGTGGCAGTGTAGGTTCTTTCCTTTGCCCAACTTTAAAAACAAGTGTGTCTGTCAATAGAAACACCAACAGGCGCCTCTTGTCCTCTGCTCAATCTGAGTCTCACAATTTGCAGGGTGGGTGTTTGCATTTCCATGGATCTGATTTTTTCAGATAATTGACTGGTTTCTCATGGTGGATTTCTTATATTTGATACTCCCTAGTGACGTGGTTTGATCAAGTCCAAGGAAAGGAAGAGATATGGGATCAAGTTGAAAAGCAGAGGATACCACATACTCTCAACAGAAGGGGCACCAACCAGAAAGCTACATACTGTACACAGGCACATCAAAGCCTCTAATTTAATTGTTGGAGATCAACCATGAAGCTCTGCAATTATTTTTCATGGGATTGAAGGAGGCGGCTTCCACCATGTTTCATCAACTGTAAACATCTAGACATCTGACATGGAAGATAAATCAAAGGAGAAGTACTTTTGTTCCACCCCCCCCCCCCCCCCAAAAAAAAAAGGGGGAAGAAGAGAACAAAAATCTTTTTCTTTGCTGAAACAAAATGCTAATCTGACTCAAATCTGTTAAATCCTGAATCACCCTTTATTCCCAGACCCCTTCCTCTTCAATCTGGGGGTGGTTAAACTACAGTTTCTTCGGTCTGCTGCTTATTTATATTTCCTATTTTTCTCACATCAGGCAGAATCTTTTTTTTATCATTTCCCGGGCTACTTGAATGATACAGATGAAAAAACTTCTCATGAATTACTAATTAAAATAAATTAAAATTATATTTAACAATCATTACATAAGATAAAAGTAAAACAATTGAGCGTATCAAAACATGTGCTGTTATTTAACAGGTGGAATGGGTGCTGAATGGGTTTGTGTTACGTATAAAGATGGTATAATATTGTGTGTAAGGGTTGTTATAATTGTAAAGCCAAAATATTGCGGAGTGAGCATTGATTTGCCTGTTATATGGGTAAATGAATGCAGGAAGTCTGCTGAGGAGAAATTACAACTGGGAGGAAGAGTTGTGATCTGAATCCAAATTGTCCATCATGGCAATTGCAGCAACATTGGTTTCTTTAAGATACTTTGGGCATGATTGCTTTTGAGGACTGGAGTGGAGCCGATCTTAGTGTTGACAGAGTGAAGTTTGGTGGTGGGATGATTGGTGCTGATGATCTGAAGTTTGGTGGTGACATGAGTTGAAACAAGTACAGAGTAGATAACACCCTCAGGATTTTTGGACTTGAGTGGGAACTTTCACAAGCTCATCATATTGATGAAAAAGCCACGCGGTGTTTATATGTGATGATCTTTGTCTGCTAATTACACATGGAAAATTGTCAATTATCTTATGAATCAGCCATATTGCAGGTGAAAGGTTGTTCACCCTTTCAAAAGTATTGACCACTTGCAGCCCAAAGGGCCAATTAATTGCTCTTTTTGAGGTGCTGCATTGTTCAGAGGATTTAATCTAAAATCACCTTCTCAATTCCATCAAGGCCTATGTGATAGACAGTATGGGTGATCAGTCAGTGTGTCTTGAGAAAAATGGGAGTAGTTGGGATTGCTCATTGATGCAAAATTGGAGTATACACTGCATGAATTATTCCATTGGACATGCCTGTCCGATCAGAGCTCAGACTTGCTTATCCAAGCAGCTGTCGGACTTGGCTGTCCAATGGGTGGTCGGACTCACTGGTCAGATCCCCATGTCCAACCAGATGTTGGACACCTCTGCTCGACGGGTCCTCAAGCAGCTCAGTCTGACCACCGTTGGACTTGCTCAACCGTGCTTTAGTCGGACAGCGTGGCTCAAGCTTTACTCAGACAGCCTTGTCTGAGGAGAGGCTGTCCACCCAGTTCCCACTGGTTGGAATTGCATGTCCAACAAGTTAGCAAGTCGGACAGACCTGTCCGACTGGCTCACTGGCCGGACTGGTTTGTCCGACAGGTGCGAGTCCGACAAGTTTGACTTGTCAGACACTTCAGCTTGACAAGTTCCACTTGTTGAACATCTCAGCTCGACAAGTCAACACTTCTGACAAGTGCTCCGGCATTTTTTTTGTGGTGATCAAGCCAGTTTGAATGGATGGGTAAAGTGAGGGGCTGCGGCGGGTAGGGTACAGCCGTGCAACACCCATGTACACCAATGTACACCCATATGACACCCCTGCGGACTTCAGAAAACAATGACTGCATTGCAGTGAACTCATGCATCCAAATCTGAAGATAAGGGGCCCCATTATAAAAACTGCTTGTTTAATGAGATAAAACTGGAGGAAAACTCCCCAGAAATCTACTTGGGCAGTTTAATGGGGGAGGAAACCTCCCCAGAAAACTGCTTGGGCAGGTTAGAGCATCTCCAGCAGAGCCGCGACTGGGCGATTTTCAGCCCAAATCAGCGGCTCGCGGGAGAATTTTGGGGTCCAGCAGAGCCGCAACTAGACCCTCGACTGATTGCCCCTCACCTTGCCCCCGGCTAGAAGTCCAAGGCAATAGCTGCCTTCGAAGAGACCGGCTATTCCCCTCTTCGCTGTGTTTTCCTCAAGTCACACACCAACACCACAATGCTCGACCCAATATGCAACAACTAGCTACGCCTCCTGCACAGGAATCATCGACCCTTCCAGTAGATCCTCTCCAAACACAATCCAAACGACCTTGCGCAAGCCCGATAGAAGAAACCAATCCAAAGAACGACAAAAAACAAAAGAAAGAAGACAACCGACCAAAAAACCCCCACTGGGGCTTGTTGTAATTTCCCTTTTCTTTTCCCAAATGTTTTTTTTTCTTATTCACGCCCCTTCTTCTAGCTGATATCAGCTTTTGGATATCTGTCTCGTTCTTATATGTACTTCTTCCGATTCTTAATCAATCATTGATTGTTTTCATTTGATACCAATCCGATCATTCTCAATGCTCTTCTGATTTTTCTCTTTGCTTTTTGGATTGTTCTCTTTGTTTTTTCAATAACTATCCAATAGAAAAAAAATGGATTTCTGATTTGATGAAAAATGAGGAAGAAAAAAAACATCAAAGAGTGAGGTAGAGAAAACAAAATGTACTTTTGAAGCAAGTTGGATGGCAAGATAATTGTCTTCATCGTCCATGATATCGAGTTGATCCATCAGATTCATTGTGGTTGGCAGAGGTGTCTAGTTTTCTACCAAGCTTGGCATCTTGGCCAACCGACCCCTGCTGTGGGAGCAGTGTGACAGGGGTGTGAAATGTGGTCCCAGGCCGCTATTTGGCCGGAAATCCACCCCGGCTCTGCTGGAGATGCTCTTAATGGGGGAGGAAACCTCCCCAGAAAAACTGCTTGGGCAGTTTGAGGGGGAGGAAACCTCCATTGGGCAGTTTGAGGGGGAAAAAACCTCCCCAGAAAACTGCTTGGGCAGTTTGAGGGGGAAGAGACCCTCCCCAGAAAACTGCTTGGCCAGTTTGATGGGGAAAAAACCTTCCAAGACAACTGCTTGGGCAGTTTGAGGGGAAAGCCTTCCCCAGAAAATAGGGTTTCACTCCTCATCAATAATCTTCTGGGAAACAAACTGGTTAAATTTATTACCAGGATTCTGAGGAAGAAATTCCAGCAGCAAAGATACAGGCAGTTTTTACTGAAGAAACCTCCCTGGCAAATTGGAGTGGAAACCCCTGTGGCAAATTCCTGTAAAGCCATTTTTTCTTTTTTTTGAGGGGGGGGGGGAGTGCCAAGATCTGAAAACAGGAAGTTAGATATCTGGCAAATTTGGCAATTTTCAGATTGAACTCAGGCAAGCTGAATGAGAACATGCTTTTTTCTCAGGAGTACTATCTTAGAAATATCTTGCAGTAGTAGTAAAAGAACAATCTAGAATTTTTACCAGAGATCATAACATAAACACAGAATTGCACCTCCAGAAGTACAGTTGTAGAAAAGCCACACAGATACAATATTTAAATAGGTTGTCAATATAGCACCTGTATACGTACAACATTTAAATAGGGTAGCACATTGAGAGAAACTTTAGAAATCAAGCAGTATGTTCAAAAAGGCAAAATCCAGTTGGAGAGCAAAGCTGGAAATTCTGCAAATAAATTCTATCTGAGGCGTGAGAATGCAGACAGGTGGATCTAGAATTCATGGATTCTCTTGCCAATTCATCTTCTTCCATCTCAAAGTCAGTACTTAATTGATCCTCTTCATCACTTTCTTCAATATCTTTGTCTTTGGTTGTGAGAGTATCCTCACTTCCCAGAGTAACATCTCCTTCACTTCCAACCAAACCTTCTTCTTCTCCGCCACAGATGCTTTCATTGCTTTCCATCTCGTCTTTGTCAGTTTCTACCGTATCTTGACTGCCCAGTGTAACTTCTCTGTTGCTTCTGAGCGATCTCATTTCCTCGTGGTCGGTAGCGTCCTCTGCTTCTCCACTATGGATGCTAGCGTTGCTTTCCATCTTGTTTTTGTCATTTTCCACCGTATCTTGACTACCTAGTGTGACTTCTCCGTTGCTTGCAAGCGATCCCACTGCATCGTTGTCGATAGCGTCCTTGCGGCTGAACATCTTGCCGTTGCTACCAAGCAATCCGATGTCCTCGTCTTCAATGTCATAATCACCGCGTAAAGTTGCGTTGTTGTCACTTCCAAGACATCCAAGTTCATCTTTGGTAGCGTCCTCGCCACGTCTCGGGCATACGATTCCGGTTCGCTTCCAAGCTCGTCATGTTTGTCTTGATCAGCAATACTGCCTTGTTCAGCAACAGTGAGCGCAGATCCTTCGCAAGCCATGTGAATCAGTTGCTTGTTGTTGTTAGCTCAGGTGTTTTCCCTGGATACCTGCAAAGGAGCTACACATGTGTGAGTTTTATCCCACTATGAGTCATGAGATGAACAAACCATTTCAATGAGGTTTGACCGTCCTAGTTGGCCGTCCGCAAGAAGGAGAGACCCAATGTTTGGGAGGAGGGATGAGGCTGGGAGATAAGTTTGGGCGTAGAATACAGAAATTGGGGAGGCAGGGGGAAATTCGGAGAGTAGTTGGAAAAAGTTTGATCATGCTGTCTGAGAGCAAGAATTGAATAAGTTTGGAAGGAGGTGCAACACTGTGATATTTATCCTGGAAGCGGGGGTTGGTTCAATCGAAATGGAGCCATCTGGGACAAGGAATGAGGATGATATAGTTGACTAAGGTTTTGATCAAGCTGTTCGGGAGTGAGAATTTGATCAATTTTGATCACTGGCCGTTCCGAAGAGGGAATCTGATGGGATTGCTAGTTGCTTTGGGGGAGGTGTGAAGCTTTGATGATCAATCTGATATGAGCAGGTGGGTAAATCAATATGAGGCCGTTTGGAACAATGTGAGGCGGTTTGGAACAATGTGAGGCCGTTTGGAAAAAATTGCAACCAGCTTGTTTGACGAATCGAAATTTTTCACACGATATCAAGACAAAGTTAGCCTGGATAAAATCAAACTTACTGGTTGAGGGCTAGGATTCACAATCAAGCCCCAACAGGAACTGGCAAACAAAATTGGCTTGGATGGATTAAACTTACGGGTGGTAGCGCTGAAATCAGCAATGAAGCACCAGCAGGAGGGTGGCAGTAATCAATGAGATCTGAAATCACTTGGCCTCTGGGGAAACGCAAATGAGTCACAATCTTCTGAATAGGGGGTATCAAATATAGGAAATCCACCATCAGAAACCAGTCACTTTTCCAAAAACTTTTTTTTGCATAAATTGGCCACAAAAGGGGTTAAATGGATAACCAACATGTTTAAAAAAGGGTGGATTTTTTCAAACCAGTCAATTAAATAATGGTGGATTTGGTTATACTTGATACCCCCTAATTTGTCTGTTTTGAGGGAACAGATGGATGCCTTAGACGAGTGGGGGTTCAAGAGGGCGCCTTGGTTTTCATCTGAGATTGGAGACAAGAAGGGCTTCAATCATTCAGAACAATAAGAAAAATGAAGATGGTAATCAACTCACATTATACATTGGAGTACACCATTTTTGTTGGCCGCTGTCCTCAGTGGGAATCCACAGGCCAGATGATGTAGAAAAGCCCAACTGAGGTTCCATGATTGTTGGGTGCATAATGTGTTTGTTCCGGGGGATGGTGGAAGTGGTGGTGTGGATGGTAGAGCACTTGGAGGTGTGGATGAGCAGATCTTGAGAATGGGTACGGATGGGGTAACCCCCCTCGGCGGGTAGGGACTACCTCTGCGGCACAGCTTACTCGAAATTTTGATGTTAGTAACCCATACCATATGGAGAGAAAAATCCAAAAAATCATGGGTTTTTCTCTAACCTTACTGAGGGGTGGTTCAGATTTTTCTTACTTCCAAAAACTAAATCCTTCCAACCAGTCTATCATGGAAGAGCCACCCATCCAGATCTTGCTTATTCCAGCTCAATTGATAACATTCACATTGATATACTTTCTAAAAATATCAACCTTTGAAGAACCAAGTCAAAAAGAAAAACAAATTTCAATTTTTGAACTCTGAAAAGGTTTGCTCCCCATCAAACTGCCCAAGCAGATTTGTGGGGAGGTTTCCTCCCTGTTCCTTCCTGTCTTTTTCAATTTCAAAAAATCTTCCTTCCCAATCCAATTCATAAAGGAGTAACATCAATGGTATAATTACACTGACCATCTGTTTTTTCAACCATTAAATTGTGAGATAATCTCTCAAAGCTTGGGTGGCTTTGTTAAGGGTAGTTTTGTTGACTGCTTGCAAATCTGGCTCAATAGTAATCAGGTAATCTTGACCAAAATCAAACCAGCCCTTTTTTCAAGCAGATGGAAAAGTTATTATAATGAGGTCTCACTGCAACTTTTGCTTCAGATGAGCTTTTTCTCTCAGGTACCACCATGCATGTACCGTTACCTCATCTCCCACAGAATTCCACCTTGCAGCAATGAAGATACAAGGAATGATAATTAGCCAGGAAATGACCCAAATGAAGCAATAACGGCCGCGAAAGCCCGACATGTCCATGGTAGTCATCCAAATGTTCTTCAGTTATGGTATTCAAAGTTGAAATGCATGAAATCATAGAGTGCATAAATCATATAATCATAAAACATTTTGGCTGGGAAAGCCAAAGCTTACATAATCAGATTACCAAGATCCCCTGCAAACAAGGTTTTAAGATCTTATGATTTTATGAAATTCAACTTTGAATACCATAAGTATCATTCCCCCAAATCTTTTGACCAATGATGCGTATGCAAAATCTTGAGTGTTTATCTCGGTTTCTCAAGCACCTGCAATGAGAGCGTGGTTTTCTGGACAGTGAATTTCTTCGGAAAGCACCAGATTATGTTCACCGGAGAGTTCTACACATCCATGGAGCTCGTTCGTCAAGGATAGTTCTTGAATTGTTTTGTGCAGGCCTGTGATCATGGTTTCTTGTCCTTCGACCAGCGTAAGGAGCACGCGATTTTTGAGTCAAAGGTCCTGGAGGCTGTTTGAAATCTCTTTGGCGCATTTGGCATACTCACTCTCTTAGCATGCAGTCAAAATATCAACACAGAGCTTCACCCTTGATGGCTGGTGGAAGGCTTACCTGGCTCTTCTTCTCATCCTGGGTCGCACTTTTTTGTACTTCATGGGGGAAATACAATTTCGATACCATTGAGTCTAATTCGAGTCTTTCCAGATGCAGCTCTTCTACAAAACATGAATAGAAGTAAGTGGAAAAAACTTTGGTTCTTCCTTCAGCTCAAGACTCACCTGAAGTCTGACCCAACAGCTGGGCTTTAATACGGCACTCATCAGTGGCTTCAGCCACTTTGGCCTCCAACTTGTACCTTTCCTCTTTGCTGTATGATAATTCTTTTTGAAGAACCTTTTGCTCTTGCGTCATCTTTTGTTCTGCATGCTTGAGCTTCTTCAAATCTTCTTTGAGTTCTTGTTCTCCGCCAAAAGTTTGCCTTCATCAAGGTTGCTCTTGTGTTCTTGTCGCATGCGCATAAGTTACAGAAGTTCACCCTCTGGTTCTTGTGGCATTTCCATGAACATTGGAAGCTTGCCCATCCCGACCACGTTTTGGGCGGATTCAGAGTCTGTAGAGCTTGTTGCATACTCTTCCATCTACCAAGACAGAGCAACATGAAGACACCCGGGTGACGCAAATTACAGCAAAGCATGTGAAATCTCTCACCAAAGTACGTGTGACGGGGCGATAGACTTCGGACAATGGTGAATTACAAAGCACCGTCTTCTGGTCTCGGGCCCGCATCCTAAGCTGACAGGCGGAGGGCCTTATCTGTGCGCCCTGTTGCGCACAGTATGTACCCCTGTGACTGACATCTTCACATCCACATACATATTTGTACACATCTCTCACTTCACAAACCCTCCCAGTATCAAACTTTGAAATGCCGATGTACGCCTTGTAGAGCTATGAATCCTGAAATGAGAATGAAAGTGAACAACTCCCCCGAGGGAAAGGTTTATTTCTTGATCACTAATAACTATATATATGATTCTGTAAATACATAGTTGGGTTGATGAGTAATAAAAGCATAATAGACTATAAAATAACAGAGGTGTGAGAAAAATCAATCTACATCCATGAGAAAATATAAATATGTGAATAAATCCATATTCTGTCACAACATGCCTGTCCTCACCTCACCACTTGCGGTGATGTCAAATACAACAAGAAGGCCTGTCACAGTCATTCTCGCCTCAGCGCTACGGCAGTAAAAAGAAATACCTTGAATGAAAAAATTCATGGAAACTGTGGACCTGATTGTCCTGCATACGGGCTTGATGGTAAGGGTAATTGAAACTACCAAACTTTATTGAGCTGATATCTGACCATTTTTCCTCTTAGCCCGCTCAGTTCAAATCTTCCAGTTTTGAATTTTTGAGCGCGGTCCCCACCAATCTGCAGTATGCGAAGGAACTCCAAAGACCCGATGCAGTTTGTCATCGGAAACGGCTGACAAATCATGTCAGTCAACCGTTTCAGTGCTTATGTTCACCCTTGAAAACATCACTGACGTACCATCCCAACCTGTACAGGGATCCTGGTGGGAATTCAAATCACGTTGAGAACAATTGCGTACGGCATGTTGGTTGGGATCTGGTCGCAAATCCCGCTTTTCATAACCCCGGACAACCCCGGACGACAATGCGGATACTTCTGTCAGCTCGCATGTGTGAAATATTGCTCCTACCTGATGGATTTCTTTCAAGTGTTGGCACCTGAAGGTTTCTGCTTGACTTCTTTACAGTTAGGCTTCTGCGCTGTGTTTTTGTTTTGAGTTGTGGTTTGCAGGTCAAGCGGTGTGGTGTTATAAACGGTACAGGCCCCCTCAAGCTCAAATTTCAAATTTCCAGTTTCACCTTTTCAATATCATCAAGCCTCAAGATCTCAAGATTATTGCCTCGAATACCCTCTCAGTCCAACTGTTTCCTTCACTATATTATTTTACTATGTTTTTTTTCCCTTTTATTATTTCATTTCCTCTGATTATTTTATCTTCATATTATTTTTTTCATTCATCTTATTTTTATTTTTATTTTATTATTTTATCATCCTTTATTATATTTTTCAAATCACCTACTCAGAAGACAGTCTTGTTCAATTTTCTTGGTCCTAAGACATCTTAGTATGTTGGTTTATTTCACTCTTGATTATTTTGTTTTGTTTTGTTTTGTTTTGTTTTGTTTTGTTTTGTTTTGTTTTGTTTTGTTTTGTTTTGTTTTGTTTTGTTTTGTTTTGTTTTGTTTTGTTTTGTTTTGTTTTGTTTTGTTTTGTTTTGTTCTG